TCTTGGGGCTTGATTTTATAGATGGATTGGTTGGTTTGGACCTGGGGTGCCGCATTTGTAGGTACAAAATGCCTTTTCCGGGGGTTGTCGTGTGAACTTTACAGGGGATGTTGTGTGTTCTTTATGTCTGTGCTGTTGTTGTTTTCACTTCCAGGCGATGTGACAAGCTAATCCAGTTCTGGAACAGGGCGCCTCACTCGGAGCTACGTACAGGGACTTCGCCACTTGTCATGTTCTTTGACTCGGTTCTGCCACAGTCCACAGCACCCAGCTGAGCGAAGAAACTACCTTCTCAGAAGGTACCTAATAGGGATGCCCTCCAACCTAATTAGAAGCAATGGCCTCCAACCTATATTATACTATACTTTGTGACTTGAACAAGGAAACATGTCTCACGGAAGCAACGGTGCCAATAAGACATGCAAAACATGGATTGTCCGAACATGTGCTCAACAATGTTCAACAGGGAAACGTATTGGGGCTTGCTCAGCGATTCCTGTTACTGTTTTGTGTTTCAAAGTATGTCCTCTTGATGCAACGAGGATGCACTCCGGCAGCATCCTGCTTCTAACCATCATCATCCACTGGAATTCGGGTGTGTGGGCGCCCTTTCAATACTCACAGTGCATGCTTGTCACAATGTGATAACTTTGTACTGTATGCCTGGCAAACGCCCTTTACATGCAGCGCGATGTTTATACACATTTGTAGATTCACAACATGTGCACTTTTTGCTGCGATCCTGGGCCAAGTGCTGACGACCACATTTGTGCAAGGCCAGGCAATGGCCTGGCCGATGGAGTTCGGTTGTGTGCCCCGTCAACCGCAGCCTCCGAACAACCACTGTGTGACTGGACATATATGTCAGTGGTGCTGTTCATTCACGATGCTTGGTCCGGACCATCCAGGCGCCCCAACAGCAGCCCTTGTTTGGGACCTCAGGTTGAGGCGGGTCGTGCTGGGGGGGAGACCCGACAAAGTTCACCGGGCCGGCGCCGAAGCCAAGGATATATATAGTATATGTGTGAGAAAGAGAGAGGTGCAAATGCATTGGAAGGAGGGGAGCTTCTCCTTGGAAACACTTTTTCCATCTGCCAACAGTTCACCCTCACTTTGGTGTCACAAGGGGATGTCTAGGATAAGGGAAGTTACATGTGGGTGAGTGCCATTGGCCCATTTTTTGCGTTTGCTGCTTGATTTTATGTTTGCAGTTTGTGTATGATTGTGTTGTTCTGCAGTGAGTGCGAACGGCTTGACTGAATGATTGTTTGTGCGTTGCCAACTCCAACGCACGAACAAGCTAACCGGCAGGGCGTGGTGACAGCACGTCAAGTTGGGTCGCATCGAGTTGACCAGCTTGTTGCTATTGCATGTGCCAATACCAGTTTTTGAATATTTTTAGGCATGTTTAATTAGCTAGCGAACTTACATTAACAGTAAGATGTTCGATGATGTTTCAAAGCTTTCACCATTCGTCGTGATGGGTTTTAGTTTCCCACGCGCCGTTTTTCCAAAACAAATTCGCCAACGGTCAGTAATTCCAGGAACACGCCCCTTGGAAATTAAATAACAAAATGATAAACCCATGTTTTTCTGAATTTTTCCCGTGTTTGTTTGGCAGTTTGGCATGTTTTTTTCCAAGTTTTGAGTTTGAGTCTGGGAGTTCCAACTACTCTTGGCGGACATCAACAAGGGACATATTCCCCTATCGCTTTTCACTGCAGAATTTGACCCAGACCCATTCCAAACGTGCGAAATTCCTTGCAGGCAGCTGACGGGAGCAAGCCGATGGAACAGCAGATCAAGCAGGAGTCTCCGCTTGACCCATCGGGGGTCGACGTGTCGGACAGAAGATCCAACAGTTTCGCCGTGAAAAGTATGGTGAGGGTGGGGAAATAAACATCATAAAACCCCAGGATGTCAGCAACCATTCTTGCAAGGGTTCAATAACGAACGACCATGGTTTTGCTAAGGATGCCAGGTCAGCAGTTTTTGTGAATGATCTTGGAAGGTTACGGAAATGTTCAATAACTTGGGCAACGATGTGGAGTCTCCCTGTTTTTTTGGAAATGGAACCCAAAGCAAGTGTCCATTCACTGGCAGGCCGATGTTCTTGGATTTTGGAATGAGGTCCTTTGCGTGCTAGTCAGTGCCCCGTCGCTTCAGTCGGTTTGGAGTGCGGAGGTTGAAGCGGTTTGCTCGGTGTCCGGTGTGAAGCGCCGGTCTGGTGCTCTGAATTGCTCGGCGGTGGTCATGAGGTTTTGTAAACCACAGAGCCCTTTGCACTGCAATTTGTTTGATGAACCGGATGATATCATGACTCATGACTCATGATTCATGACTGTCTATGTTTGTTGAACCTCTTATTTGGATGGTCACACATGTCCGGGCGTAATCAACAGTCAGAGTTTCGGGCACCAGATGCTAAATATTGGTACCTACTGTTCCGTGTTGGGAAGTCGCCGATTAACCACTGGCTTGAGAGATCAACCCAAAACATTGTTTGCCGAACGTGCACGTGCGGTAAGGAGAATTAAATGGGCATGTAGGATGCTGAGGAGTACAGCACCAGCCCCCACACGGGAGGCAAATCCAGGGGCCTCCTACATGGTATCCCGAGAAACCCAGCCTATGTCCTTTTGATCTGCATTTTATGTTCATTACTGGTGATTTCTCTTAAAACCATTTTTGAAGATTGTAATTCGTAATTCACCATTGAATGTTTGTCTCTCATTCATTCTAATTTCCCACTAAACTCTTGGCGCTTCCCTGCGGTGTCCTTTAGCATTCCTTTTGATGCCCTTGTTGATTTTTGATTTGCAGTATTACAGTAGCTTCAAAATTCCTTTTGATGGCGTTCAATTTGTGCTCTCATGCGCGCTCCACCTGCAAGCTCTCACATGTGTGTTCTTATTTGCATGCTAGCATATGTTTGTGGGCTCATTGGCTTTCTCGCACGTGTGTGTGTAACTTCATGTGCATGTTCTCACATGTGTGCTCTATTTTGTGTTCTCTCATATGTGTGCTCACTCATACCCGTGCTCTCATATGTGGAGTCTTATGCTTTTGTTCTCATATGTGGGATCTCATACTTGTGCTCTCGTATGTGCGCTGCCATGTTGTTCTTGCTCTCCGGGGTTTGCTTTCATGCATGTGCTCCCATATGTGCGCTCTCACATGTGTGCTATGATATGTGCGCTCACCTGTGTGCTCTCACACATGTGTTCTTGTATGTGTGGTGTCATATGCCCTCATACCTGCGCTCTCGTATGTGCGGTGCTTGTGCTCTCACGTGTGTGCTCTCATACGTGTGTTCTCATGCTTGTGCTCTCACAGGCGAGCACATGTTTCGTGTGCTCTCATGTGTGTGTGCGGTCTCATATATTTGTGCTCATTCATACCTTTGCATACCTGTGCTATCTTATGTGTGATCTCATGTGGTTGCTCACACATGTGTGCTCACTCATATCGTGCTCTCAAGTGTTTGGGGTCTCTCGCCGGGATATGTTTTGTCAAGAAAAGGATGTTTTAAAAAGTAGATAGATTCAAACAATCTTAAAGAAAACACATCAACATTGTAGATAACGAGACCACAAACAACATCAAAAACCACAAGCATTGAACCAACAACACAAACGCACCAGCCGAACCTCGTAGATTCTGTTAGAGGCTCTTAATCGAAACAGCAAATGCGTAGACTGCATCCTAGGCCTTTCTTTCATGAACGTCCAACATGAAAGGTGGCACGCAAGGATGGGGGCGCACCTTTTGTGCTGCTGATTAACTGCCAAAGTTGAACACCACCTGTGCCGGGCACGTTCTTTTAGGGAGACCCCTCAACAAAGGCTTCCGGGTGCTAAATACAAAGGGTAATTTAACCTTGAGACTTTGGAGTTTTTGACCGCGGTCTTTGAGCTGGTTGTCCCCACATCGACCTTCATCGAAGGAGCCTTCGCAAGGATCAGTAGGTGGTGTGACCGCAAACGCCCCAAACCCCAGCTGTTGACTAGCTGCAAAGCATGCAACATATGATTTCCGCAACCTCACCAACCAATGGTGTGACATGGTGTGCCAAGTTTTGTTCATTTCTTTCTTCCAGGGGTTGATTTGGTGGTCATTTGACTCCAATACATACTCAAATCTTAGCTTCACACCGATTGCAAAAGGATTCTTCAGAGGAGTCTTTGGGAGCACCTGTTTCAACACATTCATAGGACTGCTCAGAAACAGCAGGATGAACAAACAGGGTGTTTTTAGGAGGCATTCATGAGTCCAATCGGTTGTGTGGCCCCAATTTCAGTGACTGAACCACACTGAATTAGGAGGTGCATAAACTTCAAACTGTTCACCTTGGACGGGGCTTCTTTCCGGCTTCATGTTGCTTCAGCCTACTGCATATTGCAAAATTTCGAGCTGCAGCACTGTATTTCAAGATTCGCAGCACTTTGAGGTCGTATGCGTAGTCACCGGGAGGGGCGCCTGAAAATCCACCAGTGCTTGACTCGGATGTTGCAACCTGAACACGAACATGAAGGTGTCAAACTTTGCAATCCAACTCGTGAAAAAACAGCCTTGCAGCGCGTTTCTCTTGGAATGTCTGAGTCAGAAGAGGCTTTGGCGTGGCGTTGCGACATAGTAAATTACTCCCAAGTGGCCCAAGCATGCATGAGCTTTGACATGTTTTGCAGCGCACCAGATCTGGCTTTCGAGGGCCACCACTGCATGCTGGACCTGGTCCCTTTCTTTCATACGCCGCTCCATAGCGTTTCCCGCCACAGCCAGGAACGTATTTGGTGGCCGGAACCCTACAAACAGCCTCAAAGAAAAATGCATGAAGCGTGCTGTGCAAGAAGCGTGGCTCGACATAAGCGAATGAGTCAGAACTTTTGCCCTTGCAGCCAAGTCGTTGCACCAGAGATTGCTTGGTAATGTTTGTTGACCGTCGCACTCGGGCCGGCATCACGACGAGGTCTGAGCAGACGTTGTTTGAGGTGCAGAAGATGGAGCTGGCGTTGAAGCAGGACGTATGAATGAGACGGCCCCTCCATGCAAGAAATTGTTGAAATTGTTCCTGACATAGTCCAACTATACTATTCACAGCGCTGTATTATGGGAAGGAAACAAATATTGCAACATGTGTTGCAACAAACCAAAGCAGAACGTGCAAATCAGTCAGATACTTTCCATATCTTTCCAGTTTGGCCAGGACGACAGACTACTTCGCAGGTTTGGTATGTTTTTATTTACTTTCATGTTTTCTAGTTGGATGAACGCCCCACCACTCATGGAACATCACCAACGATTTGATGACACAAACTCTCAAATGTTCCAATTATCACAAACCATGTTTTCTCACACAGGTGATTGGAAATTATCACACACCACCTGTGTTTCGGACACTTGAATTCTGCCACCCGCATGTTTTGGGTTCCGTGGTGCACCCTGACGTTCCATCGCCATCCGTATGTGTTGTTCAGGAAGACCTGTTTTCGTGCCAAGCAGGAGCTTCACAAGACCACCGCGGGCTTGAGGGAACAGTTCCGACGTCAGATGGAGCCACAACCACGCGACGCGTGATCGGTGGGAAGTGATGGGTAGGGGTTAGCGGATGAAACTGTATGAACAGGATCCCTGCGGGATGTTTGGTAATTTTTACTCACTTGGTTATAGTTGTAGCATCGCTACCCCCGGGAGGGGGGACCTCAAAAAAGTAAGTTACATTTTAGGGTACCCCCCTAGGGGGTCAAAAAATGTAAGTTACCCCCCCCCCCAGGCACCATCGAAACTAGTCAAGGGGGGGGGGAGGGGGGGGCAAAAAAAATGTAACTTGTTGCCTGGGACGTGCTTACTTACATTTTTCCAACCCCCCCCCCTGGGGGGGTCGTCAGATCGAGGGGAGCGGGGGGGGGTCTGGAAAATGTAACTTGGGACCTGGGAGGCCTGAACTTACATTTCTTTTACTCCCCCCCCCTAGGGTGCGTTGGCAGATCGAAGATACGCCAATCACTAAGAAATTATTTGCGGGTGGGAGTCACTTAATGAAATATTTTCTAAATAAGTAATTAACTAAAAGTATTATTTGGCAACTGTTTGCTGATGCCTCAACACCAAGGAAAACATAGCCTCCAAAAATGCAGGACCAGGACACAGGCGAAAGGTGAGATTTGCAGACGTCAAAAATTGTAACTTACAATTAGTCCACGCATCCAAACCCTCAGATTTTACAGGGAATACATGGGTTCTGTGAGAAAGTTTGACCTCACAAATTGTAACTTACATTTTGGCCACATGCCCAACTCCCCAGAATTTACAAGGAACTGGGGTGTCCCCCTGAGGTACTTACATTTTTGCATACTGAAAAGCACACACGTCCGACCACACGAACCGCAAGCAGGGGGCAAGAAACCAGGGGATCAAACGGCGTTGAATATCCTTGTTCTCCTGCCCAATAGAACAGGCAGCCTCTCCTTTATTGTTCTCCATTATTGCTTATTATGTATGGAGTGTGATCGTCTGTTATGTTTGGGTTTCGCTTTGTTGCCTTCCTTTGGGGTCTTCAGTGGGAACATGTATGTTCCTGTTTCTTGGCAGTTTGCTTTGGGTGTGCTTCCTGTTCTTCTTTGTTGATGATGACTCAGACCCACTGCTGTTCCCTCATCTGCTTTGTTTTTGTGTGGCTTGTTGCTGCAGAAGGAGTTGTGTATGGAGTTGTGTATGGAAGACCCCCCGGCCAAAAAGAATTGTAACAAAACAACATATATATTTTATATATTTGTTTTTTCAGTTCAAAAAATGCTAATGATGCAGCCGGCCGCGGGCAGCATCATTCAACTTGATGGCTGACGGCTGACATGTTTCGGCAGGCATTTCCTTGAAATGCCGCATTTGACCATGCGGGACGTGGTCGTGAGCAGAAATTAGTGTGGGGATGGGGGGGGTCTAAAATTGTAAGCGCTCCTCTGTGCCTCAAAAATGTAACTTACATTTTTGAGGTCATTCCCCAGGAAATCACCCATGAGGCCTCAAAAATGTAAGTTACCTTTTTTGAGGCCACCTCAAAGTTAATGTAATTACATTTTTTGAGGCCCTGCGCGCAGGAAAATGTAACTTACAATTTTCGACGCCCCCCCTCAGGATAGGGTAGGGATGTTGTAGCAGTGTTTTCAAAGTAGAAACACATCTTCATTAGGAATGAGTTGGAAGGGATGGAAGGGAATGAAAACGGTGATTCATGACATTGTTGATCGAAAGACGGAAAATTTGCAGTATACACGTTCATGTTTCATCTTGGTGTTTGAGTATGACATCTTACCTTGTTCATCCGTTTGCTCGAGGATTGAATGACTGGTCACTCATACAGTACGCATATCTTCCTCCCACAACCACCGCCGCAGATCCAGTGTGTTGATGAAGGCAAGTGTTCTTTGTTGTAGGGGCATGCGGCATGATCATCGTGATCCGTACCCATCAAAGATTGAGGGGGTGCACTTTGACCAATGAGTTATATATGTCGTTTAAACAAAGCTCTTTGTGACGTCTGGGGAGTTGTGTGAGCTGTATGTCCGAGGCCAAGCGGAATGGTGAAGGACCAAACTCGTGGTACTTCTAGAAGGATCTGCAATACCACTGGCGACATGTCACAGGATTTGATGACATCTACAAGGACCTCGCCTAGTACCTCACCTATAGATTATAATACATATAATCCACAAATCTTGTGAAGCAACCTCACCCAACAATCATTTGTCCAATACTACGTTGCTTCCACTGCGTTCACAACACTCCCTTTGTCCAGACACCATGCCGGCACGTCTGCGGAGGAGGTGGAGCGGAATGAAGCGCAACAGCGTTGCTTGGACGACGAAGTTCTGTTCGCGTCCAGTGGCGTCGTACGACGCTGTGCCGGTGGACCGTCTGCAGGTCTGGACGGTCTGGAACCCCAGAGCAAAGGTAATAGATGGTAATATAGGTACCCCAAACACTAATTCCCTGAGCATCGAGCGGGGGTTTCCTCCGTGTGGTCTGGAATTCGTCAGCAAGAGCGAGGAAAATGGGACACCCCTGGGACTCCTGCCGATCAGGCCAGGGGTGGTCGTAAGGTTCCATACATGGGGTGGTATTACTCCAATGGGGCAATTCCATGAAAGGTGGTTGCGGTGCCGATCAGATCATTCCATGAAAGGTGGTAGACTATTGGCCGTTCTGTTGACCTTTCAGTCCATTGTGCTGTGCTGTGTCCGTCCGCTCCAGAGTGGGAGGTTCAACTCCAGGCCTTTCGAGTGTTCTGCAGATGCTCGAAGTGTCGTGAGCTCTTGGCCTGTACCTTTTCCAGGCGGTGAAGGGGGACTGGGTCAGTGGTCGGTTGGGGTGAGAACCTGGCCTGTGGCAGGCCGCAGGCTGAATGCAGAACTTGAACTGAACAGAGTGAAAGATGCTCGACAAGTGAAAGATGCTACCCGGGCATTGGTAAGGGGTAAGGTCAAGTGGAACTTCCTTAGAGGCTGCTTCGGTTCTTGGGTCTTGTGCACACGATCAAAGGATTTATAAGATTCGACAAGGAGAAGGACGCAGCACAAGTTCTGGAGGAGGATCTGAGACGGAAGCGCGGAGATGTAGCAAAGGCGGATCAATGACTTGCATGTTTTTTCGAGGGGCCGTGAAATGCTTTGCCGATGTCAGTCGCTCCATTGGCCCATTGCGGATATGCAGACCAGCTTGAGCTGATGGCATCGAAACGAGGCATCTCGCTCGCGCAGTGAAAAAGGATGATAAACGCAGCACGATCAAGGAGCTGGAGCCACGACAGGGGCCTGCAAGCTGACAAAGATAATTAAGTCGTCTCATGATGAATCCGATGAATCCCCAAGTCCGTTAATCTTTGAATCTCAAAATGTTTTTTTTGACTCGAGATCGATTCTCATTGAAGAATCGTCAAGATTATTCTTCTCTTTTGAAGAACTTTGACCAAAAAACGGCGCAGATCGCCGATGCTCATGGAACCCCCTAGGCCTTGCCATGCGCCACCGTCCGCGTATGTCCACGTTCAAGCTGCGGCGAGCGGAAACATGCGGAAACCCGAGGAGTCTTTAGGGATCCACTGCCTTCTCAGGTATACTTGGGCCCCCGTAATCTACATCACAGTGTCTCCATCCTCACTGTGCCTCAGGTTCGGTATGTGCATCCCTAGGGAGTGTTGCATGGCCTTCCCTTCCCCTGTAGGATCCTGTCAAAGCCGTTCCTTCGCTGAAATGCTTTGTGGACTGTCCATGTGTGGGAGAAGAAGCTGGGGCATGAACTCGAAAGGGGGAAGCCATCACCAGGCGAGAACCCACAACAAATGGACGAATAGCAGGAAGTACACCGTTGGTTTGCACGCCAAGCTGGCCCGAACATCGTGATGAGCGCCTCCACTATTAGCAGTTTGGTTTTATTGGGATGCCCAAGTGCCAAGAAAGTGCCTCGCTCGGCCTTCCCCAGACGTAGAGTGGGTGGGCCCAGACCCGGTCACCACGAGATGCTGCGTCGCTGCCTGCTGCCTGCCAGCCTGTCGGGTGCAACCCACATGCGACCGGTCTCATGAAGAATCCCGACCGGTGTTAGCATTCGCATGGAGGCCGTCTCTTCGGAGGGATCGGGATCGTCCTTGCTTCGCCTTGAAGCTGTCAGCTGTGGCACTTCAAGGAGAGGAGATCAGGCCTAGTCTCTCTTGGATCAAGGGTTGGTCCGTTTGTCCCTTGGCGCTTTGATGTCCTCTTTGGCATTCTTTGGCCCTTGCCCTGTCCATTGGTTGTTTGTGATTTTAGGAGTCCTCAGCGGGCTGCTCAGGTTCTTTGTGATCTGAGCCAATTGTTTCCACATGTTCATGGACAGAATGTGAAGCAAGGGATACCGCACCACAATGCATCTATCTTGATTCTTGATGGTCTTTGTCTTTCGCTGATTGATTACGGCAGCGCTTCTACTTAGACTCAGCAGAAGTGTAAAGAACATCATAAAACGACAACTTCAGAACAAACACCCAAAAGACACCCCAAATGCACCGTAAGTTCACACACCCAATTGTTGGACCCTGCTGGTGCTGGACGCGATTGGAGCCATCTAGGGTTAAGCTAATGTAGTTCAGTGTTTGCCATCTCAAGTGCAGATTGCAAGGACGGTGGAAGAGGTGGGTTGGCCATGGTTAGCTTATTACTTTCCAAGGAAACTGAGGGAGTCAAATCTTTGAGGACAGGATATCAGACGACGAATCTGTATGAATCTAGTGTTTGTGTGTGTGTGTCTTTTGTGTGCGTGTGTTTCTATGTCACGGAAAGGTGTTGTGAAGAACTCCAATCACAACACACGTCCATCAACACGTCCATCGGTAGCGATCCGTGGAGCCAGCCATCGCCAGCCATCGGACCGGACAGACGGACCGTGTCGGGGACCGTGTCGTCCCGCCGAACGAGTGGGCGAACGAGTCGAGAGTCGTCGCTCTCCACACCCGTTGGAGTGACGGTGAACTGGGACCCAACGAAATGGAGCAAAAGGACGGACCGAAGGCAGTCACCATTTAGACGTGTATCAGAGAGACCCTCCCTGGCCCAGAAAAAGCCGACATGTACCAATTCCATTTGGGAGTAAGTGAAAACCAACACCCTACAAACATCTACCAGCACCACCCAAAGGGTGGTTTATAGACCCCCTGACTATCTATTTTCCATCTAATAGCAACTCTTTGGGTGGTGCTGGTACAAACCATCGAAGTTTGACAAACATCTACCCGGAATCTTGTTGATTTGACTCATGGGGTCAACCAAGGCGTATATATACGGGGTCAACTGACTGCCCCTGCATTGGTTAAACAGAGAATCGAAAAGAACCCACCGGACCGACCTGGCCACCTTCCAAGTTATGGATAAAACTACCAGTGGGGATCGTCTTCTACCATGCCAGTACAGGTGAGCTGGTTGGTCAGTTCCATGCTAACATGCTACAGCTCACCCACCATGTAATTAAGATCTACCAGCGGGGACCTTCTACCATTTGCTAAGTCCCGAAAGTTCTGCCGAACCCCCGGGTCGCTGGATCTCGTGCGCGTCCCGAGGCAGTGCAGCGATGGACCGCGCTCTCAGTCGCTTGCGCGAAGATTTCGAAGCCTTCAGCCAGCAGGCGATCGGTCGGTGTTTCCGACCGATCGACCCGTGATGGAGTCGGCAAACAGAGTGGATGGAGTCCGCAGATTCCAAGGAGTTCCAGAACCCCCACCAGGAGAGATTCTGGAAGCCATGCATGAACCGTTAGAATGGGTCAGAAGCGACGAGTCACTGTTACTTGCATTCGGCGGAGTAATATCTCCGTCTCCAGTAGGGTGAAAGATTATTGAGTTCAAACCAAGCCGCAACGGGGCCGTTGTTGGCCGTTGCGTTGCGGTAGGTAAACATGCCCTGAGTAGAATCTACCAGGACGCTTGGGTTGTGATGTACACCCATCATTATGGGTAGTTCATAGAATATCATAGTTAGAATATCCTTAGGCATCCTTAGGCGCTTTCCACCTTCCAATGAACCCTTTTTTCTTCGTGTCAAAATACTGAGATGTTGCCTATTTGATGTGTTTTGTAACGATACTAAGAAATCCTCTACTATTTGAGAGAAGGTGCCCCACTAGTAGAGTGTTTCCGGGGTTGCAGGGTTTGTTTTGAAGTCTTCCACCATGAGTAGGTCTCATGATTGGTCAGCAAGGGACGCAAGGGTACTTGTTTTCATGCTGACCGCTTAACCCGGAGTGCTTTGCCTGTGGATGGACAAGTTGTTCTGTTGATGGTGAAACTATCGATTATCACGTACGTACCAGCCAGCTGAGACATGTTCTTTCTCCTACACTTACACTCCTACACGAAACCCCAGGAAAACATCACATGACTCAACAGGAAAACCTGAGTTGGTCGGGCATGGACAATCAAATTGGGCTCCGCAAAAGAACCAACTTCCAAGTTTTTCTCGCTGCGAAGACTGTGGCTCACCTTGCGAGTATCTAAGCCTACGCCACGCTACGTAGGCATCTTCACCCGTGAGGACTCTCCGTAGAGAGAAGATCCACAGCTCTGCCGCGCGACTCTTCGCCGCTCGACGTCGTAGCATCGAGGTCATTTCGGGCGGGCCCGTGACAGGGTTCGGTCCGTACGTTGCTGGAGCTACGAAGGTCTCGACCAAGGGGCTCCAATCACCGTACCTCGGGTTCGGTGGCAGTGAATCCATAGGGCAAAACCTCATTGTTCAGCGACTTCAAACCGATGGGGGTTGCGTGGTGGTGTCACGGTGTCACGGGACGACACTGTGGATCCTTCGGTGTGAGGATCCCACGAGTCGTTTGAGAACCATCTCTGACAACCAGGCCCAGGCCGAGGTGCGGGAGAACCGCGGGGAGGTTCGGCCGAACCGCGGAACTCCCTGGTGATTTGGTTTTGGCTGAAGAGCCTTTTGTGACACTGCGAAGCATCGGACAAGTCGCTTCGAGAGTTTGTGACACTTCGCTAACGAACGAACTCCTAGAGAGTGAAGAGTCGACGGCTCTCTTGCTTCCCCATGTCTCAGAAAAGGAGCCCAATCTGAGTCGACGGGCTGGTACGTTTGCGAATTAATTTCTGCCATCACCTGCAGCCTCCTGGCATCGCTACTAGGAGCAAGGACGCTACTAGGGGCTCCTGGCATCGCTACTATGTGCAAAGAAGCTACTAGGGGCCCCTGGCATCGCTATACTAGGTCCTGGCATCGCTATACTAGGAGCAAGGACGCTACAAGGGGCTCCTGGCATCCCTACTAGGAGCAAGTAGCTACTAGGGGCTCCTGGCATCGCTACTAAGAGCAAAGAAGCTCCTAGGGGCTCCTGGCCTCGCTACTAGGAGCAAGGACGCTACTAGGGGCTCCTGGCCTTACTACTAGGAACAAGAAGCTACTAGGGGGGTTCTTGCCGACGAGGCCTCCGTGCGTTTGGAGTTGGACGCCATGCGCTGCAGCATGGAGGTGTGTGGCTGCGGTTCATCGCGATGAAGCCGTCGGGGGTGGGGCGTCCAGGCGTTTTCTGGGGCGTGCTTTTTGCTGTGCCCAGACGCGACCCTGGGCCCTCATATGGAGGGGTCTGGGTCTAAAATCCCTACTGGTAGGTTTTGAGGGACCAAGGGCTGTTTGGAGCGTCTGGGTGAAATGAAGGGCTCCTGTTGGAGCACGTGTTCGGATGGTCATCGTGAGTCAGTTCTTGCGTTGGTTCATGGAAGGTTTGTCACCCCAGCCGCCTGCTCTCCTCTTTGCAGAATTACAGTTCTTACTGTGCACCATTGCCATCCATTGCCCTTTGAGAACAACAGTAGTCATACAGTAGTTTATAGCCAATCTCCATGAGACTAAGGGGTTTCCTAAAGTCTCGAGTGCGCTGCATACTCCGCTGTGGGGAAATCAACGGGCTCGCTCACTGTTTGATCACCTCTGAACAGCCGACCGCTAAACCCTAAACACCTCAGAGACGAAGAACGTTGGAGACTACAACCCTTCAACCCTGCACCTGAAACCCTTCATACTGCCACCACCCCCAAAAAACATGCTTTGCCTTAAAGGCGCGTTTTCTTTGTTCGCCCAGAATTTCCCGACGGGCGGGTCCACCAGGACCTCCAACGGCACTGTGCAGAGGAGTTGCTGGAGCCTCACCATCGTTTCTTCGTAGAGACTATGTCGTTGGATGGTCACACTATATCACACAGACATGACCAAGCACATCACTACACTATCTACACCTATTGTTGGTGCAAGCTGTTTGCAACCGCTGCTTTTGGTGATTCCTTCTTCGTGATCCCCCGTGTTGCTCGGTATCCCTGTTGAAACCAAGGTCCATGCGACTGGCGACTTTTGACGCAGAGAAGGTGGGCGATGGGAGGAAAACTTGCGCTCAGAGCAAGGGTTTTGCGGCTGTTGTGCAGGGTTTTGTGGTTCTTGGAATTTGGCTGGGTTTCCTGGTAGTTTGATAGCTGTCAAGCGTCAAGCCCCAAGGTGGCAAAAACCAGCCACCTCAAACTAGTTTTTGAGTTGTTTGTGTTCTGTGGAAGCTCCAGGTAAGGTGATGACCATGAGTTTGGGTATAAGATGGTATAAGGTTGCAGTGGCACATCCTTGCACCTGTTTTACAAGGAAGCGTTTATTCCAATCGTGCTGATTTCGCTGTGATCCATAAGAGAAGAACTACCCAGACTGACCCGGACCTGTGTGAGCTCCAGTTTCATTCTTGGGGGCTTTGATGATGCTCCGCACATCACCGTGGCACAGAGAAAGTGTATCCAGGCACGAGTCCCCAAACAGTGTGTCAAAAAAGATCTAAGGATGTCTGGTTGGTCTAAGGGGGAAAGCATGAAGAACACATCATGAAGCACACTGTTTGGGGAAAAGCATGTTTGGTTGCCACATTGTTTTTTGAAAATAAAAAAGGGACACATCACTCCAACTGCTCGGGGGCAGCATGCCTTCGCTTCGCCACGGTCAGGAACAGCTCTTGACCTTGATGAAGAAGCTCTCAGAGGACGACGGAGTCGTGGGTCCCCGTGGGTCCCGTGTCCATCTCCTCCGAGTCGAGACCTGGTCCTTTTGGGGTGGCTGGCACGAGCGATGGAACCGGTGGCTGCCACTGGGACGGTGGCTGATCCCTGATTCCTTGGTTTTTCGGGTAGAGATGTGATGAGTCGCACCATCTTCACCACTTCTCAGGAGTCGCAGCATCGCTGCAACATACTGCAACCATGGTTGAAGTGGAAGGCTTTGTTTCGCTGCGTTCATTGACTTTTCGGGGGTGGCAGCGGCATTGCAAGTGACTATATCGTAAGTACCACCCATCTAACATTGCTGATTCAGAGAGATTTGCACATCAACTTGTCTCCACGATGAAATGCTGGCAAGTCTAATTCGCCAAAACCTGAACCACTCGGTTTACCAAAGCTCAACACACACACAGAAGCCTGAACAGCATGATGCCTGTGATGCATATGAGATGATCGGCATCATTTGCATTTCTCACACTCCAATCAAAACAATATGTAAATAAATGCCACTTACAGCGGTGGGCAGATGTCACTTTATGAAACGATCGCTTTTGAAGGTCTGACCCTCCACAATCGATTGGACTATTGACCTACATTGAGATCCTTAAGCTTCAAATCACCCTCATGTAGGCAAAAGACATTTGGATTGCCGGCATTTGCAGTCGGAGCATCTCGTCTTCGTTCGGACTTGAGCCAGGTGGCGAAGGAAAGGGGTTTGGCTTGGGCATGAAATTCAAAGCTGGAGCTGATCCTGAGAAAATCAAGAGACTTGCCATTGAGTTCCTGTCTGTGTGTTGTGGGAAGGAAGCTGACGACATGAAGGGCGCGCATCCTAAACGTATCTTATATAGTCCTTCCCAATTGTGCATGGAAAAGAGAAACGGAAGAAACCCAAACAGGTTTGGTCAACTCACACCAGGTGCGTGTTCAAGCAACTTCAGAAATTTCTCTCACAGACACTGACTTGTCCAAGACAGAACTCAAGGACGTACTTTCAAGACGAATTCATTCTGTACAGCCCTGTGGTTTCGGCATCAACGGTGCCACAGCGATGGCACCTGTTCAGAGATCCACCTGGATGCCACCATCACCCCCTTTTCGTTGTGATCCTTCGGTCCCCTGAGCGCGCCGAGCAGGATGTGCGCGGGCACAAGGAGCAGCTGGCGGCTTTGGAGGCGGTGGACCAAGCGAGGTGAACAGAGGAGTGCTTATACCGAATTATACCGATTTTTCTGTTTTTTTGCGGGAGAAGCAGGTCCGGTTCATGATGCGCAAGTGAAATGGTGATATAGGATGGTGATAAGTTTTTGTAGGTGTTTCAACTTTCATTGCAAACAGTTGGTAAACTTTGTTAGCCAGAATGCTAGGAATATCTACAGGATTCTACAGGTACATTGGTGCCCAATAGCCATCATCCGATATTTTCAAAGCACACTTCCACGGCTCAGATAGTTCGATTGGGAATTGGGATAATTTTGGTTGAAGCAGCCACTCGCTTCGTAAGCTGTGGAAGGTCGTCTCGGCAGATGGGGGACCACAGCGCGCGGTCCAAGGGAGCACGTTCACGTATGTTTAGGGTGGGTTTATGCATCAGAGGTCATTGGTCGAGTACGTCTCTGCATTGGTCATTGGACGATCCCGCCTGCGTGCGCGTTTTTTTGATCAGAGATCAACATGACGTGTTTTCTGTTTGTTTTTTTTGGTTCCGCCAGGTGAAGTCGCTGGAATCTGAAGGCATGTCACGGCGAATGGGCAAATTTTTTGCAGGGCTTCATATGGATGATATCGATGGGGGCGGATGCTTCGAATTCAAGTGGATATGCAAATCACAGGAACTCCATACCTTGGGTGTGTCCTATTACCAGCAACAGTCAGTAAACAAGAACATCACTATTATCTTAGATGAGAAAGGCCTGCAACTGAACCATCATCATCCACTCTTACTGGCAATAGGTCAAAGAAATTCAATACCCCACTACCCCTCCGTTGTCACATACTAATTGTATAGGTGTCTGGGGACCTGGATTCACTTTTTCCTTTTCAAAACTTACTTTTTGATCTCCTTTCAGAAATGCCTCGTCTTCCTCGTTTGGATTCTCCATTGGAGTGCGATCTTCCACTCCCGAAGGATCTTTTTGCCCCGTGAGGACGGTGCTTCGGAACCACGGACCAACCCAAGGTCCAACGGTCCAACGGTCCAACCAATGGTAGTGCTTAGAGGAACACGCGTGAACAACCTGAATGGGTGCCATTGATCTACCCATGTTTGCCTGCCACACTCGTACAACAGTTCAACTACGTACAAACAGCCTGCAAGCTAACACTCTAATAAGCAAGTGGGTCCTATTCCGTTTCGACTAATTGCCCAGTGAAGCTTCCTCACTTCTTGACTGTGCTCTCAGACCATTACTTAGCCCTTACTAAAGCATCAGTTCAAACTCAACCCCCAGGAGATCGAGCAGGGCAGGTACTTTGAGATTTAGACCTCACACCAAGCATGATCGATTTGGGCATGTGACATTCTCAACACCTACTGTACGTATCAACTTTCGGCAGCAAACCGATGGGTTTAGGCAGCATGGGCGAATCCAGAAGTGCGATGGCCGAGGTTGAAAGTATCAAGGAGGGATTGAAGGGGGGAGCACATAGGAACATCTTGGAGAATCTAACAATATAATACAATTATACTACAATTTACCATGTTTATTAATATATAATATGATTTGATGATTTGAAGTGGTGAACCCAAAAGGAAAAGCTTCATTGAACAGTCCATGGCACCCCCCACATCTTCACCATGTTCCGCTCGCTCTTCCGGACGAAGCGAGCGGATGTTCTTTTCAAGGTGCCATGAAGCACATCGAGGGCTTGAGGCCGGGGCTAGACGAGATTTCCGGTGGGGATGAGGAGTTGCGAATCCGAAGTGTTGGAAGAAATAGGGCTCCTTTGTATGAACTTTCATAGGCAAAAGCATGCAAAAGCCCCTGGCTGCCAGCGCCCCTGGCCTCTCGAATGATAAAGTGGTGAATCATCCTGGAAAAAGTCACCCCTATAAATGGGGATGTACGTACTGGTACTTGAGCAGTATCAACTCGGGCGAATCAGAACCATGTTGCATTCTACTTACTGTAGATGCTTCTACATCTAAGCATGAAGGATGGTGTGAGTTCTGTGGGGTCATGGAATAGGATTGATTCAGAAAAACCATGTTGATCTGATCTCTTTTGCCATGTGACCCCTTTGTAATCAGGCACAGGCTCATGTCACTGGCCCGACTGGCCTATCCACCATGCTTGCTTATTCACGAATTCTCATCAACCATCAACATCCACATCCACGACGGACTGGCAATCCCTTAAGCAGAGGTTAGAAGGGAACATGATTTGCCGGAAATGGTCAAGGATGAAAACTGGAGGTGCATGCGACTCTCGCATTGGTTTAGAGGGGGCCTTTGGAAGTGCCTTTGGAGTTGCACCATGCATTTTCACTCGGTGCCTTTGGAGTAGCCCAGGAAGTGCAGTATTCATTACTGTTGTGTATTGGAAATGATATGACTTTTTAGATTTAACTAATTGTTTAAAACCACTTCCAATGAAAAACCTGGAAATACCTGGAATGTTTGCACCTTTGCCCATTTGTCCATTTCTGTTTGTTCAGCAGCCGCTTGAGATGATACTTCATGAATGATACTTCAAGAAAACAGGCTTGACGAAGAAATCACCTCCAACGCAGGTGCGGAGCATTTGGTGCCATTACCCTACCAACACACAGCTCGCCCAATCCTAAATCATCAATTAAAAGCCTGATTTTAGACTTGGATTCTCAGGGCTTCTTGGCTCCCGTATGCTTGATTACCGTGAACTAGACAGTTCGTGGGGATGTATGCCACATTCTACCACTTTGCAATGGGCTCGTGTGCTTGCAAACTTCCAGACCCAATTCTAAGTCTAGCAGCCCATGGGCTTCATCTCCAAGGGTCTTGAATCTCACACTCCGACTCCCATCCATCCCCAGACCCTTCAACTCAGCCGAAACACGCCGAAGATCCGGTGGACACCGATCGCCATGGCTCCCAAACTGAAGCGCCCGAGCAGCGCGCGGAGCGCGGGCGGCCCGAGGCGGGAACTGTCGATCGGTCGTGAAGGAACAGCGTTTCAAAACCATGGCCCGCCAGTATCATGGTACATCCATGTAAGAGGCATGTAAGGGGGCTATTTCCACAGTGAGTAAAATCTTATATGTATCTGGACCCTCAACAATGAAGAATTGTCTTTACTATTGGGATTTCTTTCCTATGGGGCCGGCTTGGCCAATTCCAACCAAAAGTGAACGGTTGCAACCAAAATTGAACGCTAGCGCTGCTCTGTTTCTTTTCTTGATGCGCACACTTTAACGGGTCTAATCAAGTGGAACACCTGTAAGCCACAGTGCAACACGTGTGCGATCAATGAACATTTGACCGGTTCAAATAAATAGAAAGCGTGCAAGGCTGACTTGCAGATTGTGCTAAATCAGCATCCAGCTCTTCAAAACGGGAACGCTGCAAGTAGGAATTAGGTAGACCCTGTCAAAGTGCCTTCAAATTGCTGTCGGTTACTTTTCCTATACACAGTCCAATCGTCCAATCACATCAATTCTTCATGAATTGAACGATTCTCCTTGCTCAACTCCAATTCTTGAACTATTGGGCCAGAATGTCCAGTTTGAACGGTTTAAAGGTTTTGCGACCTTTTGCGGCCAAAAGTGTTGAAACAACCAATTTAGTTAAGAAATTTCTGCACGTTTGAAGATTCAGGCATACATTGATTTCGGGTGGCGCTGCAGAGGTGCAAGATTTGGGATATCCGCACGATTCCCCCAAATCGCCATTCTTCTGTCGGTCTCCTGTTCAATTTGAAGAATCCTAGGCTATCCTATAGGTGTCAAAAATAACGGTGTTTCCCAAATCCTATTATTTAACATTTATGACTTTCCTCCCGCCCAGCACAGACACACCATCCCTCAGCCGTCGACCCCGTCGACCCGTCGACCGTGTGCGGGTTCGGGCCTCTCTCCCGGCGGTGTGCGTTCTCCGCCCGCGGCTTTCTCCGAGCGGCCAGGACGGTGAAGTCCGAGGGCGGGCGCTTTGGCTTCATCAAGCACCGAGTGCCTTCGGCAGTGAGACGAGTCACCGGACGGCGGAACCGATGCGGAACTGGACGGCGACAGTGGCGGAACGCCGGTGTCGTCGTTGGCACCGGAGCTTCGGCTCAGTTGGGAAGCGATGGGACCGCGCCTTTGCGTGCGGCAAGGGAGGTGCTTCCCTTCTGCGCTTCGGGCAACCACTGCTTGCAAAACGTCATAATCTTCGGATCTTGGTTTTTGCATGGCTCTTCAATCAGTGATTTTCGGGCGTGAGAACTTCATCCCCAATATAACTATAGCACGTGGCACAACACCCCAATGGATTCATCCGCAGGCAAAGAGGCCTCGAGGCGCCGTGCTCGATGCTAAGAAGTTGACAGGGGAGGTGACAGGGGATGGAGATGAACCATCCACGATCCGCTTTGCCTGGTGTGGGCCACTGGGCCGACTCCGAGGAAGGTCAATGGCAGATGCCCCTGGAAGGTCTGCGTGCGCGCTCCGGCGGCTACTGCTCCTCGGGCGTCGCAGGGTCCGGTGGGGGGTCCGACCATATACGTTGATGGAGGTGATGGATCCAGACCTGTGTGTGAAGACCAACTCGCTACCAGGAGCAAGGACGCTACGAACGGGGCTCCTGGCATCGCTACTAGGCTACTAGGAGCAAGGACGCTACCAGGGCTTGGATTTTGAAGGTTTGCGGATTGGAGGATATTGGAGGCATCCGCTGCGGGTTCAGTCGTGTTTCGCCCATCCATCCTTTGCACCTGTCGAGTCTGACCCGCCCGAGGCTTTGACGTGGACACCGGCGCCCTGACCAGCGAGAAAGGCCGCCCCTTAGGACGCTTGCGCGTCGAGGCGCTCCAGAAGCTGCCGAAGACGACCGAGAGCGAGTCCAGCGCTGCTAGCAGCGACTTGGATCGGGCCGCGATATAGCCGCGATGGAGCGGGTGTGTGGAGTGGGTGTGTGGAGGGTGTGCATGGTCTAAATGGTGGGACATCCAGAAGATGGGTGGATGGGTGAGGTGGCTGGAAATGTAGACTCCTTTTAGAAAAAAACACATGAAGGAGGAATTACAATCCAAATAACGCAAATAATTTATGAATCAAGAGTCCGCATTGTATTCGAGAATTGAAAGTAGTTGTGGTGATGTTTGTGTTACACAAACGGGGGCTACACAGCAGAAAAAGCATGGTCAGGAACGCGTCCTTTGAACTAATTACCGCTGAAGGGTTCTGTGAGGATGATTCTTTGGAGGATGTTGCATTGTTGCTTGGAGTTACACACAAGGTAATTACTTGAGGAAAGATAGAAAAGAATGCCTGCATCACTGGAGTCGTGGGCTTCTTTCATGACATTCCATTGCTGGCATAAGTTCACCCAGGACTTCTGATCTTGGGTCAGACCTTGGCTACCTCAGAATCCACTACTTCAATACATGATTGATAGACAACATCAAGTGCGTACCATTTATATTCCAGTCTGCACAAGAAGTTGGAGCGTGATGTATGCACGTTTGTTTTTGCCAACATAAGGGTGGCAAAGTTGTGTCCCGGATATCTTCTCCACCAGCAGTAGGGTGAGGTGTTTAAAGAATGCGGGATATTTGCTGAGCATACTGCAAACATCTGTAAACTTTATATGCCTGGCAAAAAGGTTCCAACTAGAATAGTTTCCACTATAGCGTCGCTATAGTGTTTCCACTTATGTCTTGCAGTGAATTGTATTGGAACCAAAGCTTTCGGGTCCCCAACGCTTATTCTGCAACGGCATTTGGCGCTGCGGGTTGAGGCTTCCAGATATGTAGCAGCGAGATCATGGAGGAGCGGCGCCAGGTTCTTTCAAGTTCCCCAAACCAGAAAGGAAGACATTCCCAAGACAACTCTATAGACTCTAAAGCCTATAGACTTGAAAGAACCTGGGGACAAGACAACTCTATAGACTCTAAAGCCTAACGCCTGGCACCATTTGGCCAGACGTGGGTGTCATTTCTTCGAATTCTCAAACCTGTAGAAACAAAGATCATTGAAAGAAGTGAATATCCTTTCTGGCACCTATTTTTTGGGCGCCCGGTAGGCACAAACACAATATGATTCATCCAGTCCAACAAGGGGGACACTGGCTGCTGTTGGATGTAGTGTTAAAAATTAGAAGGAATAGAAACCCTTGGATGGTTTATGTATGTTTATGATCCTGATGCCAAAGAAGGGCCTCCAAACCAAGGAAAACACTGCAAGAAAAGGTCTGTGCATGTCCGTGCAGAAGATACGTCGCCCGGAAGAATAAAAAAGAAAGGCCGGGTAAGCACCCTGCCCTATCAAAGTGGAGAAGCTTTTCTTGCCAATATAAAGCTTAGAATCCAGAATGAAGGTGTGATATGGTGTGATCGATTTGGGACACAGAGTTTATAACAGACTTGGGGCGGTGGTGTCAGATATTCAACCTTTACTTGGTGATTGGAGCCCAGAGGTCCTCCTATGATTTTGTTCGTTGGTTCAACAGCTTGAAACCACCCACCACTTCTCCAGCCCTTCCCCAGCCCTCTCCATGTAAACCACCGATCAGGCCAGTCGTTTTGGGTCACCTGATCGGTCCATCTTCCGACCTGCACCCCACATGGACACCCAGACTTCACCGGAGCTCTGGACCGGCCGGACGCCGGGTGAGCTCGGTGGTGCTGGAGTGTTTGGGCTGTGGTGGCTGTGGAAACGACGCCTTCGTCCGTCGACGCACGCGTGAAACCGACCGTGA